TTTTTTTTTTTTTTTTTTTTTTTTCATTGCGGAAGGGTGGTAATGAAGCCTTGCCCTGCGAAGCAATATTATCGTGGTGAACTAGTTTTTCTTTTGCCACTTGCAATTGGTTCATCACGATGCAACTCTCAACTCTTTGCAAGTAATGAATGGAATGGAATAGAATGGAATGGATGGCGGACAACTCATCATCATCATTCATGATGATGATGATGATGGCTTCTGCTCTTCTCGTTCTGATCAGTTTTGATGTCTATGCCCTTCATCATGATGATCCTTTTTTTTTCTGCCCTTCTCAATCTGAATGGATGAAGTACTGATGCCCATCAGTACGACCAAGTACTGATGCCTAGGAGCAGTTGTGTGGTTGAAGACGATGAGAGATGATGATTCGTAAATGGCGAAACTGATGTGCTTCCGTGGTTGGGTTGGGGTCGTCTTTGTGGGGTGTGATTTATTTGATTGGACGTAATCGGGATGATCGGGATCGCATTGGTTGCGTTGACTGGTGCGATGTGCTTGGAACGTCGGGATGGGCGGGATCGCAATGGAGATCGAGGACTTTGTTGACGGACGGGATCGTACATATAAGGGCTGTCTGGTGCATCCCGACTTGGTGTGCTTGACATGTATATGGGGATATGTTTGGGTTGGTGTGTGATCGTGTCGACTAGATGCAATGTACGCAATGGAATTGCGATGAATTGGTTGGAATGGAATGGACTGGAATGGAATGGAATTGATTATGGGGAATCTAATGGATTATGGTATGGATTATGGGATGGAATGGATAATGTATGGGGAATGGATGGAGTCCAGGTACAGCTTGACACAGGAAGGAGAGAGCAGGCTACAACATATGCTACAGTGCGCCTGGGACGAGGGGGAGAATATGCCAGGGTTGCAGCTACCGGCTTCACAAGCAAGGACCGGTCATTCAAGAGAATCAAGAGGACGATCGGGGGGAAGAAAATGAGGGAGAACAAGGAGTTCACCGTCGGCTTTCAACCCACCTTTTCCCACTCGTACGTGCCTTCGCTGTCTACCTAACCTCTTACGGAACTCCCCCCCTCTCTCTTTTTCCCCATCTCCATCTTTCTCCCTCTCTCCACTCTCCACTCTCCCTCTGGCTTATTCTGCCTAGACCCTATAAGTCAAAACCCATCACAAGCGGTCTCCCGTGTGAATACGAACCGTTCCGATGTACCTAACCTTCTCTCTCTCTCTCTCTCTCTCTCTCTCTCTCTCTCTCTCTCTCTCTCTCTGTGTGTGTGTGTGTGTGTGCGATAAGCCCTGGCAACGGGGGAGCACAAACAGAGCCTGTGGAGAGGATCGGCACACAGTCAGCCTGTGATATGATTTTTTTTTTTTTTTTTTAGTGAAGCTTCCTTTCGTTCTTCTTCTTCTTCCCTTTTTTTTTTTTATAAATATTTTTAAATGCTGTCAACATTGTGGGTAAGAGTTTTCGTTGTCTTGTTGCGGGGAGCTTCTCCAGGAGCATGGTCGCACTAGCAACGGGGATTGGATTGAGATCCTGAATCTGGGCGTGTTTTGTGCAGATATGCAGAAAAGGAGTTCAATCTCTGTTTTCTGCGCTTGTCCACAAACGCAGCCAGATTCAGGCGTTCAATCCAATCCTCTTTGCTAGTGGGACCTCGCCACAGCAGTTGCTGGCTCGTTAGTAGCGAGATACGATCCCACTCGGGTTCATCCGGTTTTCGAATGCAATGTATATTTATTTATTGTTGATCTCTAAAGGAAAAAAAAAAAAATATAAAAAAATAAAAAAAAAAAAAAAAAAAAAAAAAAAAAAAAAAAAAAAAAAAAAAAAAAAAAACAGCTGTGACCGACTCGCCTAGCCCAGTTGGTACACCCATGACGTGTTGAAATACGAATCAGACCCTAGTTCGAGTCAAGATGCAATCAGATGAATAGAAATTAAAATAATTCTGAATTATATCTGGCGCCGGTCAGCTCAATGACGATATCCGCTTTTATAAAAGATGAAAGAAAAGGAAAAAAAACAGAAAAAAAAAAGGAAAAAAAAAAAGAAAAAGAAAAAAGAAAAAAAGAAAAAAAACGAAACGAAAATCCCTCACACAGAGCTGTCATCAAGTCCAAGGGTGAGCTCCCGAGTTCTCAGGTACTGGGCCTCGCTCCACTACACAACACTCTACATGCATTTGCACGGTGTTTGGACCAGATACGTTCAAAATGTTGGACTGTGGACGAACTGAGAAGACCCTTAGAGCAAGGGAAAAAAAAAAAAAAAA